TTAAGTATTAGCGAGGAATAAAATAAATTGAAAGTAGCACCGATTCAAAGAAAAAGTGCCTGGAAATTGGAGTTGAATGATTTATTCTAGCAAGAAACGCGAAGGCGTAAGTGCGAAATTGAATATAAAAGAGCGACGCGCGTCTTCGGTAGCAACAACAAAGGCGCAGTGGTAATGGCTGGTGACTCTTCCGCTAATGGCGCGTGGGGAGCCGAGCCACTTTTAATAATGCAGCCGCCAGCGAAATGCAGAGGAGCACCGCCAAGACGATTTCCTGAGACAACGCACAACGTCTGCCTGAATGACTTTTCACTGCGGCCGCATCACTTGATTGGATCTGAAGCGCCACCATTAAAATATTTAGTCAACTTCCGTAATTCAACATGAGATCCACTTCGCATTTTCTCAGGCATCCAGAATTCTATTTCTTTTAATTTCTAATGGAACATGTTCTTTCCGAAATGAGATGAGACTCACAAGATGACGAAAATATTATGGAAGTTGCTGTCAACTCTTTTTCAAATCAATTTAAAAACAAAAACATTCATTTATTTCATTTTTACACGGAGAAAAATTTACAAGCATTAATTCTTGCATGTAATTAAACAATAATCATGGTATAATTTTTGAGCTGCTACATGCTGGTGGGTAAAATTAATCATGAATAAATTTAAGTCAGCAAAAAGCACGCCCGAAGAAATTATTTTTTAATTTTAATCACTGAAAATTTTAAAATTTTAATTTGATTGAAGTTTTAATTCAATTTGATTTTTTTCTTTAAATTAGAAACATGCTTTTTAATTGCCATGGACCTAAAAAATGTCAAAAAGGCCGTCCCAACTTGAGATTTGCTTACTTAACAATGGTTAGAAAAAGTTGGCTTATGTATGGTGACCATTTTTACTATGGCAACAATGAAATTTGCATAAAAAAATTAAGTATTTTCAAATGTGTTGAAATATGACCTTGAGTGCTCCCCAGTGTGTTTCTCAGGTCAGGGGTCACTGGCGGAAAGCTTGTTACATGAGGATGCCAAAAACGCCCGGGTTTTTGCGATTTGGTGACCCCTGACCTGAGGAAGATGTCGGCAAGTACGGAAAGCCATGCTTCAGCACCTCAGAAATGCCTGCAACTCCCATTGTTGCCTTAATGAGAATGGTCTAATTAGTCCTTAAATTTAAACGTTGCAATTTTCTATTTTAATTCTTTTATCAACACAAAAAAGTTTTAATTTATTTTACAAATTTTTTTAAATACAAACATATTTTTGGAGTGCAAAAAACCTAAAAAAATAAATTAAAAAGGCCAGCCCTTCCGGGGATTGAACCCGGCTCATATAGGGCACTCGAGCTCAGCTCTGGCCCCACAATGCTAGGCTCTCTCCCCGTAGGGCCAGCCAACAATTTGCAAAAAAAAACTGCTTATGAACAGTGCTGTAAGGACTAAATTTGTTTCGGGATTGATCCGATGTGCATAGTTAAGAATTTCTGGTTGAACGCGGAAAACAATTTTAAATGGCGCCGTTGTATACGTTAAGTATTTTTTTCTTTTTTTTCCCCCAATAAATGCTAAAAATGGCCATTGTTAAAAAAATTTTATTCGACTGTACTAATAATGAGTCTAATGAGTCCTTGAATTTAATCGTTGCAATTTCTTTCTTTATTTCTTAAATCAATAATTAAAAGTTTTAATTTATTTTACAAATTTTTTTTAAATACAAACATATTTTTGTAGTGCAAAAAACCTAAAAAAATAAATTAAAAAGGCCAGCCCTTCTGGGGATTGAACCCGGCTCATATAGGGCACTCTGGCTCAGCTCTGGCCCCACAATGCTAGGCTCTCTCCCCATAGGGCCAGACAACAATTAGCAAAAAAAAACTGCTTATGAACAGTGCCATAGTGCGATGCTTGCCCAACAATGCTTCTTACTTCCAACAAATCGGCTGGTGAGCAATTATTGTATTGTTGATTTTTATTTGGTTGACCTTGACCTGGATAAAGTCAAAAAATGCAATGAAAAAAATAAATGAAAATGAATAAAATTTTCGAAAAATGTTATTTAAGTAGTTACTTGAAATAACTATTTCAATTAATTTTAGTTTCAGAAGTTTTTTTATTGGGTTCAGATTGAGGGAAACTTTGCCCCATACATGAACTCATCCAAATTAATTAATTTTATTTGCACAGACACCTGAAATGTAGAAGGGCTCGGAAAACAGACTATTTGGAAATTTTGAGTTTGGCAGCAACTGAAAAATTACTTCCGATTTTCATAAAAAGTTTTGGTCGAACGTGGAAAATAATGCTCTTTTGAATGCCACACCGTTCCCATTTCACTTCGGTCGCGAGTTATCAGGCCAAGAGCATCAGAAAACGCGATTTTGCAGAAAATTCTGCGGCCAATTTAGCAACTCCTGATGGGAAATTCTGCTCCTAAAATTAGGTGCCAGCGTATCACGAGTTTTATAATTTTTATAAAAATGTGTATCAGTCAACCGTGGCTCAGTGTGGCGGATTAGAACTTTTTATCTTACAATTAGTTCTATTAGAAAAGTATTATTTGCTACTTGTGCTGGTGCCTTTTTGTTCTATAATTCAACGTTTCCCTCTCAACAATTAAAGACGTTCTCTCAACCTCCAGCACCAAGGAAACTCATGAATTATTAGCTGTAGCCCGCAGCCGAAACATGTTGTTTTTCTTAAACAGTAATCAACTCACAAAACCCAACGAGGAAAAGCCGACTTTAAATTCAAAACGCCATTAATCAAACCTCGTTTGTAAAATTCCAATACAAAATTAAATAAAATAATTAGGTACAATTCTATTTTTATTTATTTATTAAATAAGAATCAATTTTGATTTATTCAAGATATAACTACTTCTTTTATATTTAATAAGCAAAATTTTTAATAACAAACAGGGTTTTTGAATTGCAATGGACGTCAAAAAAGTTTTATAAAAGGCCTGCCTTGCCAGCCCAGCTGGGTTTTGAACCCGGCTTACATGGGGCCTGGACATCTCACATGCGGGCTCCCAACCCATTGGGCCAGCACTGCATGCCCAACAATGCAATGAAAAAAATGGCATATCAGCAGTGACTCAAGGGCTTGTCTAAAGATTACAACAATGGTAGTTAAATTTCAAATGGCTCTAATTGTTACAAAAAAAATTAATTAAATACGCCAATAAGAATTCCTTAATTATGACTCTGGCATTATGAATTTCACAAAAAGAAAATTTTTCAAACGCGGAAAACAATCCTTTTTTGAATGACGTCGTTCCCTTCTGCCTGTTTTGCTCCAATCAAAAGCTAATGGACCGAGAGTGTTGGAAAACACAGTTCGACAGAAATTACTGCGGCCGTGGTACCTTTTTGTCTAACGATCAATTTTTCCCTCCCAAACAAATATTTTCAAACCGTTAAATTTATCGACACGTTAACAGCAATAATAATAAAATAACTCACAAAAGAGATTAATATTTGTATAACAAGTAGAAGTTATTTTAAATTTCTAGCAAAAAGTTTCTTCAAATAAATCTTGTATTGCAATCTATTTTCTTGCATTACTTTTTATAGTAAACTTATATTCAGTCTTATCTCATAAAAAAGTAAAGTTTGCATAACTAATTTAAAATGAATTAAACTTTGCAATGCAAATGTGACGCGCAGATTCTTTCGCAATCACTCTGAATTTGTGCCGGATTGTGCTTCAATCAGTTTTGCAAAGCCTGGGTGCAGCTTAATGTGCGAGTGGCGGACGCACGCGCACTCGTCGGCAGCCCGTCTGCCGAATTATTAATTTCTCAATTACCGCTGGCAATGCGGCGGCGGCGACGGGCGCCCCTGTAAGTAAGGAAAGCAAGCTAGGGGATTTTGGCAATTTCCGAGGCAGCGTGGAATTTAAATTGGCACTTGCCGAATTCATTGCAGCAACCTGCGAATTTCAGCGCCGCTTGAAATAATAATGCAAAAACATTTTTCTCGCGCCGAATGTGTTTCTTCCATTCTTCACCGCCGAGCACGCTCGAGCAAAAAGTAAAAAAAAAGAAGACGGAAAATAACAAAAGTTGCCGGTGCGTGAGCGAACTTTATTTCCTGCCGCCTAGCTGTCGACGAGAAAAGTAAAGAAGCAGAAAAAGGGCGGTGGCGACGAGCACAAGAGAGAGAAGAAGAAGAAAAGGCGGCTGTCAAAGGTGCGAAGCGCGCGGGACAGTTATTATATGGCGCTGACACGCGATACAGCTGGCGGCGCAGAATTAAACTGACAGCGCCGAGATGCAACTTATTTCGGCTGGACCGGCTGTGAATATTCGCACGGAATTGAGACGCCGCCGCCGACCTAGGCCACGCCACTTGACACATCCGATATACTCTTTGTCTATCCGATTTGCAGCGACACAACATCTGACTCGCTCGGGGTCGACACGCCAAAGGCCGAGACTTATCCCGCCAGCCACTTCCAATACACACAAGAGACAGCCATTGACTTTTCGCAGACGCTCTTTTCCAATAAAGCGGACACAGATTCTGTTTCAAAAATAAAGCTCCAGATAAAATAACAGTATTCCGGCTAAAGGAACTCCAAAAATGTGGCAAACGTACTTTGAAAGAGATAAAAAAAGTTGTACAATATGAACTTTGGAGTCTGGTTAAATCCTCTCACTCGCATTTCCACAAAACTTTCGGTCACAAAAAAAACTACTATGTTGTAAAAAAAAAACACTTCCAACAATTTTGTAGTTAAAATTAAATTTAAAAGAGGTTAGCAAAAATAATTGGGCACAAAATTTGATAAAAAAAAAACATCAAGCTTTAGGAAATAATAGTTGATCGGTTTAAATTGTCTTGGGTAAAAACAACTTGCAAGCCGAAGATATTGGATATTTTTTTACTTCTAACCATAATTTTAGGGTGATTTGAGCAAAGAGTTAAGTTTTAGCAGAGTTTCCATCAACTTCAAGCAATAATTAGAGTTTTTAACAAAACAAAAAAACATACCTTTGGGTGCGCTCTTCGGGGAAATGCAACTTTGGGGTCGATCTGTGAACAAAAGGAAATTGTGATTAGCAAACAAATATTGGTAAAGCGCCTGCAGATGCTTATATATACAACCGGCCCGTCGGCAGTGGCGTGCAGGTTGCCTACCCTGCAAAACCAAGACAGAACGGAAGAGTTTTGCCTTTTTTTTTCGTGCTCATTTTCTGGGTAATCAGCGCGGGCTGCAGCACTTTTGATCCGTCGTCGGCGAGCGGGCGATTTTTTGCATATTACGACGGGCGGGCGGAACGTGCACGAGGGGCTTTGTAGCATAAGTAGCTGAGAGCAACAAAGCAGCTTTGCAAACTGCAAACAATGGCCCCGCGTGCTCAACCTGCATCTCTTTTTCTTCCGCCGCTCTCGTCGCTCTCTCTTGGCACAAAAGCGGCGAGCCAGGCAGCGAGGGAGGGGCATTAAAAAGAAGGAGCGAGGTGACAAGTGGCGTATCGAGTTTAGTCAGGTAAGCAAATTCGTTCGGCCTGCTCCACCCGAAAGAAGGGTGGGTGGAGGGTGGGACGTGCCGCACATGCAGAATGCACGCCAGACTGCACTATTTGCTCAGTCAGCGAAAGAGAGAACCGAAGAAAGAAAGAAAGAAAGAAAGAAAGAATGAACTTTTTCTCTTTTTTCCGAAGACACGAGATGATAAATGAGCAAGCGAGGCGCACAATTGCCGCCCGCGAGTCAATTTCTCTGGAATCATCTCGCGGCCGCTCCAGGCCAAGTCGTTCCGCCCTCACTACTCTTTCTCTCGTAAAAAATGGAACCCCTCATTCAATTTGGAAAAAAAGCGACGCAGGCCGATAGCAGCGGAAAAACAACGGACTGACTGAGATTGCTTAAAAATTGACTTTTAATACCGGCGGCGGCGCGCACGCTTTTGAATAAATAATCTCTTTCACTCTTGTGCACGCAGCTCTTGAGGTTGACTTTGCGAGCTTTGCTCAAAGCTTTGAAATTTGCTCTCCACTTCAAAGTCGAATCCAATAAAACCGACCTTTTGCTGAATAATGTACATTTCAATACGCTCCAAGTTCAACAGGTTTTCAATTTTTAAAACTCTTCAAATAAGGTGTTGAAAAGAGTTGATTTATTTGACAACAAAGTTTGATCAAATTTGATTTTAAAAAAATTATAAAATAAAATTGAGGTATTGAAAAAAATAGATTTTGATCAGATTTTAATCAAAATAATTTATTCCTAATTTAAATATAAAACTTGATGAAGGTGAAAAGTTGATGGGCGTTTTCGTATCATTATCAGTTGTTTACCTTTTTGATGTAAGATGTTTGAAATGAATGGAGGAGAATAAATAGAATCAATCAACTTATCAGTTACTTGTCTCAACCTGCTCTTTGCCGTCGACGAGAACAAAGATGAATTTCGCGTTTCGTTTGGATTTTGTTTTGACGGTTTCTGGGAAACAATGCAAGATACGTTTAATTATCTTGGAGGGGAGAGACAGATCCCTTTGAAAACAGAGACTCTTTGTTTTGTGCGTTGAAAGGATTCTCCTTTTTACACCGTCACTTAATTAGTTGCATCGATTGGGAGGAAGGGAGAAGGCGCCGGGCCCCGGGTGAGCGATCACCATCAGTCAAGCAGTCAGTCGATCCGGCCTGCTCCTCTCTGTAGGCTGATTGCAATCTTCTCATTTTCAATTCCGACGTGTGCATGCAAATTATCAGCTGGGGTTCATCGCAACTAGAGAGCTACGAGGCCAACGGAGGAGCTATTGATTGATTCCTGCGCGCCACGGCGACGATTTATTTCCCAGCAGTCTTAGTCTCGGATCAGATATTTCTCATCGCTTTTACTGCGAGGAGTGGAAGAGCGAGCGAGAGAGAGAGAGAGATGGATCTAGATTGCGTCACACGCACGTAGCGCAGGAGTGGTTCCAGTCGGAGGGCTGCACGCACACCTACCTAACGGACACATTAATTCTTGCAGCCGGCAGGCAGGCAGGCAGGAAATTAAACATTTCAAGTAATCAAGCTCGGCGGCACCAAAAATGTACCAAGCGGCGAGGAAATTGACGGAATTCATAATGCCGCTGGACGCTTTTCATTTGTCGCTTATTCGACTCTTTGCCGGCACCCCTTGCTTATCTCGCCGAATTTCACGCCCTTCGACGCGACGCTGCGATTAACTGCCACCCTACTTACTCCCGGTGCCGTTGACAGAAAATTTGCAACGGCTCAATGCTTCCGAGCAGCGGGGGGCAAACAACGCGAAACGCTGCTCTTTCCACGCCACGTCGCCCCGCCAACAAATTGAACAGACCCCGGCAGGAAGTGCACTTCTTGTTATTGTAAATAATGTCTTAAATGAACATTAAGATTGTGGAAATTTCTCAATTGGATAATGCACAGAAATTAAAAGAAATGTCCTTTAAAAGAAAATAAAGAAATTAAGAAATGAATTTGCTTAACTAGCTATGATTAGAAACCGGCTTATGAACGGTGACTGGTCGAGCAGACCATTTTTATTATAGCAACAATGAAATTTGCATGCAAAAAATTAACAATTTTCAGAGGTGTTGAAACATGACCTTGAGTGTTTCTCAGGTCAGGGGTCACCGGCGGAAAGCTCGTTACATGAGGACGCCAAAAACGGCGATTTGGTGACCCCAGACCTGAGAAAGAAGTCGGGAAGTACGGAAAGCCATGCTTCAGCACCTCAGAACTGCCTGCAACTCCCATTGTTGCCTTAATGAGAATGGTCTAATTAGTCCTTAAATTTAAACGTTCCAATTTTCTATTTTAATTCTTTTATCAATAAAAAAAGTTTTTATTTATTTTCCAAATTTTTTTAAATAGAAACATGCTTTTGAAGTGCAAAAAACCTAAAAAAATAAATTAAAAAGGCCAGCCCAGCTGGGGATTGAACCCGGCTCATATAGGGCACTCTGGCTCAGCTTTGGCCCCACAATGCTAGGCTCTCTCCCCGTAGGGCCAGCCAACAATTAGCAAAAAAAAACTGCTTATGAACAGTGCCGAAGTGCGATGCTTGCCCAACAATGCTTCTTACTTCCAACAAATCGGCTGGTGAGCAATTATTGTATTGTTGATTTTTATTTGGTTGACCTTGACCTGGATAAAGTCAAAAAATGCAATAAAAAAAATAAATGAAAATGAATAAAATTTTGGAAAATTTTATCTTAGTAGTTACTTGAAATAACTAATTAAATTAATTTTATTTGCACAGACACCTGTAATGTAGAATGGATTAGAAAATAGACTATAATTGGAAATTTTGAGTTTGGCAGCAACTGAAAAATTACTTCCGATTTTCATAAAAAGTTTTGGTATGTATTGTAAATAATGTCTTGAATGAAAATTATGATTGTGGAAATTCTCAATTTGATAATGCACAGAAAATGAAGAAATGTCTAAGCTTTTTAAGGAGTTTGACAATTAAAAATTAATATTTTTAACATTTTATCTATTTTACGGCTCCAGTTTGGCGAGTAGGTTAGTTTGGAAACGCTTTTACTTTAAAATTAAGTTTCCGTAAGTTATTTACCAGCGCTGGCTGCAAATTCTCTCATTGATGTGAATTCCAAATAACCTGTCTGACCTGTAGTGAGAGAATAAACGAATTGAATTGAATTTTCATGCTCATTTTTTATCGCTTTAAATTCTCTTATTTCGGAAAACAAATTATCATAATTTCTACGATTCTGCTTGACCATAATTTTATAATAACCAAAGACCAAAATTTCTATTATTGTCTCTATTTGACTCATTACGAAATAATAGTAAAAAATGTGGAAAATAAAATAATAATTACCAATTTGTTTGGAGTTATTAGAATTTCAGGCATCGAATCCAAATAATCCAATTTATTTCCTATCTATTGATGTATGTATCTCGTGCATTTCATTCTAATTATCAAAATGTTAAACTTTTCCAAATTTTTGTAAACCCAAAAGGTATTATTTTGTTCACTTACAAAAAAGTTGTAAATTTTGTTTTGGAGTGTGGAGTGGAGGTTCGGTGGTAATTTTCAGTGCGGCAGCTTTGTAGGCAAATTGAGCAATCGACACCGGCCATTAGTTGGAGCGAGTCAATTTATCTGCGGCTATGGGCGATCGAGTTTGTGCACTGAAATTAGTTGCGAGCACTTGCAGAAACGGCGTGTGTGTGCAGTAATTTAATTTGGGCCCATTGATCATAGTTAACACCGGGCGGGCACGCAGATTATAGTGCGCTCGAATTTACGGTCGGATCAATTGGCCTGCAGTTAATGAAAGCACATAAATACGCGCTCCAATTTGCAGCGCATGTGGCAACAGCGGCTGAAATTATTAATTTGCTCTCGACTTTTCGTTTTGCTCGGTGCAGTGCAGTTGCAGCGAGCCGTTAAATGGGATAAATAGTTGATTATGTTGGGCACACACGGAGCGTGAATTATGGAAGCGGTTCATCAGACCTGAATATCATGCAGCCTAATCCCCGCCCACATTATTCCGCGACACCAAAACGCCGCCGCCGCAGCCGATCGCTCATTTCGCAAATTGCAGAATTAGCTGCGAGCGAGAATTCTGCTGCGTCCGTTGTCCACCACCATTTTGCCCAAAATCACCCTAATTCATCTTCCGAAGGATCAGCACAAGGGACATTAAATTTAGCTCGCACGGAATAATGTGAAAGAGAAATTATTCTGTGCCTAGCCTCTCTAGTGAACAAAATTTATTTAATAAATTTTACCTGATTTTGTTCCATAATTTTTAAACTATGTAATTGGAATTGGAATTTTTATAACCAATTTATTAAAACATGAATTTGATCTTAGGGAAATAATTCTATTAATTATTTCCCAATAATCATGAGGAGTTTCAATGATTTAAACGCTTTCAGATCTTTTAAGATGCTTCACTTCTCATGAATTTAAAAACCCATCTCTTTTAATTAATGTTTTTGTCTTGAAAAGTTTGAGACGTTTTCCAGCTGCTGTGGGAAAAGCGAAATTCACCAGCTGCCTGATTGGTGCTGTGTCTG